CGAAAGGATCCCCCTTGCCCCTCCCCAGCCTGGCAATCGGAAGCCTGGCCGCTTTGAATCAAATACCCTAGCAACTGGGGGCTCCCCACGGGCGCTAGTGGTAGAGAATCTGCCTTCCAGTGCAAGAGATGAAAGAGACGAGGGTTCGATCCCCAGGTCGGGAAGATGCCCTGGAGAAGGAAATGGCAGCCCACTCCAGTCTTCTTGCCTGGAAAAAACCACGGACAGAGGAGCCTGGAGGGCTACAGTCCACGGGGTCACAAAGAGTTGGACACGACTGAGTGACTGATTGACTGACCCTAGCACCTGCCATGCCACCTGATGGAAAACGGGTCTCAGGGTCACTGTATATGTGATAGAGAGTGGCTTATTTATTTAAAATCAGAAACGTTTCTCCCCACCAGGGGATCTTCTTGCCAGATGAGAGATACCTTGGCATGGGATAAACTCGAGCTCTGGTTCAACTCCTGGCTTTCCTCAGAGATACCTGTGGCTGTGGTCTCACAATATTTTTTACCAGCTCTGGGCCATGGTATCCTTTACAACGAAATAAAGTGGGATTCCAGATGCAAAATATGCAAAGCAGAGTCTAGACCTTGGCACTATTAACCTTCAGAGCTGGGTAATCCTTGGTGGTGGGGTGGGGTGATCCTGTGCATCTTAGGGTGTTCAGCAGCGTCTCTGGCCTCCTAGATGCTCTAGATGCTGGTGGTGCCACTTAATTCCCAGTTGTGACAAACGGAAGTGTCTGTAGTTATTGCTTCATGTCTCCTGGGAAGAGATCATCCTTGCTTGAGGACTCTTGTGTAAAATGCTCAGCACCATGCCTGGTGCCCACTAGGCGTGAGTGTCACTCGCTTTGTCTTCTGGGCTCTGGTTTGAAGAGGGTGTCCTTTAGATGGAGCAGAGATGTGTGATGCCATCATTGGTCTTCTCATAAGCCCACTTTTTCTGGGTTTGATGCACTTGTGTGTATAATGTAGATGTCTGGTGATTCAGAGAAGATTCTGGAAAAGATTCTATGGCATCCTTCTTCCACCGTGCTTAACACTGGGCCACCCCTCCTTGGTTTAGGGAGAAGACACCCCCTTTTCTCTCCCTGCTTCACCACTGACTGTATCTCCTGCCCAAACTCTTTGTGCAACCACAGCTTCTTAATTGTTGGCCCCATGATTCATGATAAGTCTGTCACAACGATGAGAAAACCTTTTCTTCAAAGGGCCGGATAGTTCAATAGTGTAGGCTCTGTGGGCTGTATGGTCTCTTGTCATAGTGACTCAACTCTGCCATTGGGGCACAGTGAGCATGGTTGTGTCCCAATAAAACTTTATTTACAAAAACAAGTCATGGGCCAGATTTCTTCCAGAGTTCATTTGCCCATCCCTCTCCTATCCCCACCCCTTCCATCCTGTTGCCCAATGAAGCCACACAGAGCCCAGAGTTCACTGGCCAGGCATGCACTCACTTAGCAAGCAGTGGGGTCTGCTACTTGGCAGCCAGTGTGCTTCGGAAGCCTGGAGATAGAGCAGAGAATGTGACGCGGTCTCCCACCCACCGGATGTTCACAGGCAAATCAGCAGGCAATGGCGGTACCTCCAGTTACTGGAGATAGAGCAGAGAATGTGACGCGGTCTCCCACCCTCCGGATGTTCACAGGCAAATCAGCAGGCAATGGCGGTACCTCCAGTTACGTGGGAAGTGAGCAAAGCTGTGGTAGAGCTTAGGGGACAGGCAACTGATGTGGTTTAAGTGTCAAAAAGACTGGCTGGGGGATATGGAACCTCGAAGAGAAGCCGAAGGCTCCCCTGGTGGTTCAGTGGTTAAGAATCCGCCTGCCAATGCAGGAGACATGGGTTCAATCCCTGGTCCGGGAAGATCCCACGTGCCAGGGGGCAACAAAGCCCATTTGCCGTGACTACTGAGCCTGTGCTTTCGAGCCCAGGAGCCACAACTACTGAAGCCCGTGTGCCTAGAGCCCGAGCTCCCAAAGAGAAGTCAGCACAGTGAGATACCCACACTCCGCACGTTGAGAGTAGCCCCCACTCGTTGCAACTAGAGAAAAGCCCGCACAGCAATGAAGACCCAGCAGATCCAAAAGTAAATAAATAAATATTTTTAAAGAAAGAGAGAGAGAGAAGCTAGACTAGCCAGGCAAGGGAGTAGGGGAGAACTTCCCAAGCACAGGAGGCAGTGAGCAGAAAGACATGATGTTGTTAAGAAAATAAAAGAGACCATACACTTCTTGAGGTCAAGCCCTTCCCTGGGCAGTGCCGAGAGGGGTCAGATCCTAGCACGGAGCGGCTGCTGTTTTGCAGAAGCACGTGGGACTGGTTCTCTCTTCCTGAGATGGCTCTGCCATGCGGAAAGGCTAGGTGGGCGTATACGTTCCCGTGAAAGCATTTCTACTGAAGGCGGAGCAAGGAAAGCTGTGTCTATTTTGACCATCTCTCTCTACCCCTAATCCTGTGAGCATTTCAGGCTCCCTTGGTATTTTTTACAAGACTGTCTTTCAGAGACAAGCGAGGGGAGGGGCAGGAGAGTCTGAAATAGATCTTTGGGCAGAAGTGAAATCTGTCCCAGTGTATTTCCCTTTGGAGGATTCTCAAGGTCCCAAAGCTTCTAGGGCTTCTCATGAGCCAGAAGGAAGTTGCATCGTATGGAATTTCTGTGCACAAGTCTATGTTCCTTGAGCAGCCTTGTAGAAGAAAAGAATGCTAGTCAGCTAATACATAGTAGAGGATTTTTTTTTTTTTTTTTTGGTATCAGTCAAGACCTTTTAGCTTGCATGTAATAGAAAAGCGGGCTTACACAGACATTTACTGAGTTATGGAATTTAAACAGCAGCATTACTGACTGCAGGAAGAGCTGGATCCAAGACTTCAGATTTTGTCAGGGGGACTCAGTGGGTCTGCGTCTCCATTGCTGGGCTCCGTTTTCCTCCGGGTCAGCTTCTGCTTTAGGGAGGCCCCCTTTCAAGAGGCATTTCCTGGTAGCTCCAAGCTGGTATTATGTCCAGCTGCCAGTCATCGTAGTGGAGGAACTTCCTCCCCGAACACCAGTCAGGTCCCAGGATTATACCTCACTGGAGTGGCAAGGGGTCAACTCGCTAACCAGCTTAGAGAGACGGGCATGAGCCCCATCACTGTGGCCATGAGAGGCGAGTCCTCTGGTCAGCCAGGCTGGGCCACGTGATCCCGAGGTGGCCTGGGAGTGGGAGCCCCGAGAGGGAACCGGGCTCATCCTTGAAGAAGATGAACAGTGAGCAACAGTGACGGTGAATGTGGTTTCCCAAGGACAGACAGTTAACTTTGCACCTCAAGCAATCCAGCCCCAGCACAGTCGGACCTTCACAGCCCCCAAGTGCCATGAAAACATGTTGCTAAGAAAGCCACAGCTGTACATTTTTGCTTCTGATGGCACAGACATTTGGAGAAATTAGTCCAGGGGAGGAAAGGCCCTGCTGGGGGTGTTTTCACTTGTAAAATGTTTTAAACTTATCCTAAGCACTGTTCTCTTCCAAGTGTCATCTTTAACATTCTAATTAAGGTTCCTTCTAAACAAATGCACCAGCTCTTGGCACCGCTCTGAGAATAAACTTTTTTTCTTCTACCCTGCCTGTCATAATGGGATTTGCTGCACTCAGGTTGCTTGGGCTGGAGATGCTCTCAAATATCTGTGGCAGGGACTCTGGAGATGGGAGAGATTCTGACACTGTTGCCCTGGTATCATTACAGGAGGGCTGAAGTCACATCTAATTGACCACAGACAATGGGAGAGGAAACTATTTGGTGGGCTTAATTGCTAAGCTTTCACTCTCTCTCTCTCTCTGACTGTGCAATCCCATTTCTTAAGACCATGGAAAATTTAGACCTCTGGGTTACAGACCCTGATGGTGTGTGTGTGTGTGTGTTGGGGGGGGGTANTGGGTAGTAAAGTTGTGGGGGTGGGGGTGGAGAGAGAGGTTTCCTGAAAGGGAAGCATTTGAGTTCTTCTTTTTTTATTCTTTTGACTTGACTGTAATTATCACATTGCATGTTTTGCCTAGATCTGAAGGGCGAATTGTTATATAATGCTCTGCTTATAAAAAAAAAAAAATTAGTCAGGGAACAGGGGGGAGGCATTGATTAATGAGGCTAAGAGTCAAATCCATGTTTTGCAGAGACACTTAAAATGAGACTATCGTTGAGGGCTATCGTTGTCCAAATTAGGTCTTGAATTTTCATCAGCTGCTTCATGTTGGCTCTGAGACCATCATACGCACACGCCCACCACACACACAGTGACCCTTGCAAGGACCACCACCCCCATCCCATTATGTGAGCCAAAGCACATAAAATGTTGATTAAATTCTAATGCTTACACGAATTGTCTCTCCTCTCAAGAACACACACGTTCAATTTAATCTCTCTTGGCATTTTAAGTATCAAATCAAGGCTCCGCTGTCACTGGCGACAACTACAGGCTCACACGTTCCAAAATGGGAATGAAATTAGAAAGACCTGCCAGAAAAATCCAGTGCAGAAGAACACAGACTCTCACAGTGTGTGGCTCTTGGGCTGGATGACATGCAAAAGGGTCTTCCACCTTTCAGAACCTCAATTCTGTACAGTGGGGCTGTCTCAGTGATGACTGGCCTGTCCTTGTTTAGTTGCTAAGTCCTGTCTGACTCTTTGTGGCCGCCTGAACCTGCCAGGCTTCTCTGTCCGTGGAATTTCCCAGGCAAGAATACTGGAGTGGGTTGCCATTCCCTTCTCTAGGGGATCTTCCTGACCCAGGGATGGAACCGTGCCTCCTGCATTGGCAGGCAGGTTCTTGGAGACCCTGGTGATGGTTATGGCATCCTTATACCGTCTGATGAAGATGACCTAGGATGTACCCATCTCAGGCTCTTGGCACCACCCTGGCACCCACGCGACATCTGGGGAGCTGTTGTTCCTGGGCCTGGGGAGAAGGTTCTGCCTGCTGCCCGCTCATGGTTTCTCTCCTCTCTGATTTTCCAGGGTAATCAGGAAGCAGCAGCTGCCCCTGACACAATGGCTCAGCCTTACGCTTCGGCCCAGTTTGCCCCCCCTCAGAACGGCATCCCCGCGGAATACACGGCCCCTCACCCCCACCCCGCACCGGAGTACACGGGCCAGACCACCGTCCCGGAGCACACGTTAAACCTGTACCCTCCCGCGCAGTCACACTCGGAGCAGAGCGCAGCGGACACGAGCGCGCACACCGTCTCGGGCACGGCCACAGTAAGTGTGCGCTGGTTTCGGAGGGCGGGGTGGGACCCTAGGATTCCTGGAATGACTGCGGGGCGCACCTCTATGCAACTAGGGGGCTCCATCCTGCAGAGCCGTCCCTAAGCTCATCCCTGGCATCCCAGCCCCGCCAGGTTCACCTCACTCACCTGCGTGCATCCTCTCGTGAGGCTGGTTTCAATCAAAACATTTTCCCATTAACTGCGTGTTTTGCTAAAGGGAAACCTTCATTTCTTTTCTGCTTCTGCAGTTTGTTTTTTCTGAAATTATGTAGTTCTGTGTGGAATCATACACTATGTAATTTTTTTTTTTAATGCCTTTTTGGAGATACCGTTTACATACTGTAAAATCCACCTATTCCAGGTGTACAATTCAGGGATCATTATGGTATTTACAGAACTGTACAACCACTGCCACAGTCTGTCTTAGGAATTTTTCCTTCACCCCCCAATCCATCTGTCCATTGCAGCCACCCCCTGCGAGGTTCCCGCCCCAGCGCTCCTTATCTTAGCCACATTCATTGGAGTTGCACGCACATTGTGGCTTGTATCCCTAGTGTCTTCTTTACTGCTTAGCCCCAGAGGTATGGGTGACCTGGGCTTCCAAAAGGCAGCAAGAGAATTTTGTAGAACTGTTTTGCATTTTGATGGTGGTGGTAATACACCTCTGTGCACCCAAAAGTCAAGTTTCTTGCCTATGAATGGATGGAATGGATTAAAAAACAAGCAAACAAGCAGAAAAGAAACAGTCTGTCACCATTGCCAATGGAAACCAGTATTGCTGGCTATTCATAAAAGCTAATCACTCTAAACAAAAATGATGATTAAAAGTACACCATGTTTATTTGCATACCACTGGAAGTAACCATGCCCTGTGCATCTCAGGAGAGGTATATGTAAATATTTAGGAAACCTTGTTCTGTGGAATTCTTGAGAAGCCTAGACACACCCAGCTTCTGTCCAGAACAGTTTATAGGTGCAAGGCACTTAGGGCTGTTTCTCCTAACCTCTGAAAAACTAGTATTTGTAAAGAAGTGTATTGGTTTGAAACATCTATTTTTTTGTAACCGAGTTCAGTTCAATTCAATCCCTCACTTGTGTCCAGCTGTTTGCAACCCCATGGACTGCAGCTCCTCAGGCTTCCCTATCCATAACCAACTCCCAGAGCTTGCTCAAACTCCTGTCCATCAAGTTGGTGATGCCATCCAACCATCCCATCCTCTACCATCCCCTTCTTGTAACCAAGGCAACCATCTAACTTTGCTACCTGGTACCTCATTCATTTGGAAGTTCAGTTTGGAGATTTTTCAAAATAATGTAAATTGAAAAATTTTCTATCACTTTCCCTTTTTTATTGTGCCAAAATACATATAAAATTTTTAACAATTTTGTCACATACAGTCCAGTGGCATTACGTACATTTGCAGTGTAGCACATCCATCACCACTGCACAGTCCCAGACATTCCCATCGCCCCAACAGGAAACCCGGGATCCATCAGGCAGAAGTCTTCCATCCCTCCCTCCCCGCAGCCCCTGGGAGTCACCAGTCTGCTTTCTTTCTGTATACATTTGCCCCTTCTGACTTTTTCAAAAGACTCAGTCATACAGTATATGACCTCTAGTGTCTGTCTCCTTCCACTTAGAATGTTTTCAAGGTTCATGCACGTTGTAGCATGGACCAGTGACTCATTCTTTTTCTGTGACTGAATCCTATTCCATTGTTTGGACAGATCACATTCTGTCTGTCCATCCATCCATCGATGGGCATCTGGGTCGTGTCTACCTCTTGGTTATTGTTGGTAGTGCCGCCGCTGCCTCATTTGTCATTGTCTGCTGTAACTTAGGGATGGATTTATTAGATGGGTTTGCAAATGTAGTAGGTGTTTATTCTCGTTGTGTTGACTACCAGTGGTAGTGATGGGGCTGTTGTTCATTTGTGTGTTGAGTTTTTGTGTGTGATAAGCAGTGGTAGGGCTTGATAAAGTTATTTTAGGACTAAAAAAGTTCCCATCAGGCATGATTTATTAAGCTTCCACATGGACCAACCATACACACTGCTGTGGAAGATTCATTCCTTCACTCACAAAGATTTCTTAAACATCTACTGAGGCCAGGACTCATACTTGATGATGTGAGTGAGACAGATGCAAATGGTCTTTTCTATCTGTTTTGAAAACGATTGTTTTTTGGCTGCACTGGGTCTTCATTGCTATGTGCGCTGGCTTTCTCCAGTTGCAGCGAGTGGGGCTACCTTCCAGCTGCGGTGCACAGGCTTCTCCTTGCAGTGGCTTCTTTTGTGCGGGCTCAGAAGTCGTGGCACATGGGCTTTGTTGCCCCTTGGTGTGTGGACTCTTCCCAGGCCAGGGATTGCACCCATGCCCCTTGCATTGGCAGGCGGATTCTTCACCGCTGGACCTCCGTGGAAGTCCAGTTCTTTCCCTCTTATAACTAAATGTGGGCGACAGAGGAAAAGTGTAGCAATCACAGAGCTCTCTAAACACACATGGTGAGGCATGCTCTGAAGGAAAAGACGGGTGCTATGGAGGATTAAAAAAAAGAGCAGAGGTACCACCTGCAAATGAGTAGCCTGGGGACATTTCTTCAAGGACATGATATTTAAGGGGAGAAGAGAGAGCTTCCAGGTAAAAGGAATACCAAGGTCATAGGTCCCAAGGTTGGAAAGAGCTGGGCTTATTCAAAGACTTAAAAAAGAAAAAAAATGAGACAGTATGGCTAAGGGCTGGTAAAGAGGGTGTCGGGATGCACAGTGGCAAAGGATAACGAGAAGCAGCCACAAGGATCCTACCGTGTGTTCTGTAAGAGGGTGGGATTCCCGGTTGAAAGCTATGGGAAGCCATTGCAAAGAGTTTAAGCCCCGAAAAAGTTTAAAAAATGACATTTCGAAGGAAAGAATTAATTATGCCTGTGCTGTGCTTAGTCGCTCAGTTGTGTCTGACTCTTTGTGACCCCATGGACTGTAGCCCCGCCAGGATCCTCTGTCCATGAGGATTCTCCAGGCAAGAACACTGGAGTGGGTTGCCATGCCCTCCTCCAGGGGATCTTCCCAACCCAGGGATCGAACCCATTTCTCCCACATTGCAGGCAAATTCTTTACCATTTGAGCCACCAGGGATGCTTACCTTAAAGGAAATATTAAGCCAGCAGGGGAGATGAGAAACTCAATATCCTTTTCTCACATAAAGAACTCTTAAGAGATCAACTCGGCTACTTTTAAATTGCATATTGTGTGTCCACGTGCCCCCAATACTATGGCGAGGTGTCATGGTGAGCAAACAGGCTCCCTCTATCAGAACGATTTTACACAGAGAGCCAAACACATAGATCAAAGATGGTTCTACCAGGGTCAACGTGAACTTCTTTTTTCACTGTTTATTTTTATTTATGTATTTATTTGGTTGTGCTGGGTCTTGGCTGTGGCACATGGATCTTCAGTCCTGCTGTGACCTGCTGGATCCTTAGTTTAGGTGTGTGCGCTCTTAGTTTTGGCATCTAGTTCCCCAACCAGGGATGGCACCTGAGCTCCCTGCATTTCAAGCTTGGAGTCTTAGCCACTGGACTACCAGAGAAGTTCCTGAGACTTCTCATTAAAGGTGTCGAATGAACAGAAAATGGTCAGTGCTAAAGGCAGTATGGTGAGCCATTTTCATAAAGAGCTTGAATTGATGCTTTTGTCAAGTGTAGGGAATGGAGAGAAAGTCAACGGCTGATCACTAGAGAGCTCACAGGTGGTGAGGTTTGGAAGAAAAGGCGCTATGGAATGAGGCATAAAGAGGGTACCTGGATGGAGGCTGAACCAGAGAGTGTTGTCATGGCAGCCTGGCAGGTATGAACTGAGGACATGATTGGAACTGGCATATTGGACATCACATTACCCAGGAGAAAGCAAAGTATTGGGGAGCAATTCCAGGGGCCAGGAGTTGAGGAGTAAATGGGAAATATCAGAGTGGGTGTGCGCAGTACCCTCATAAACGTTTGGAGTAAAGAGGAGAAAGAAAAGATAGCAATGGAAGAGCACAGAGGTCTGAGCAACTGGTTGGTAGGAGAGTGGATTTTGATTCAATATTTTACACCACAGAGAAGAGAGATGGAGAAGGACAGGGGATCCGAGATAGGGAATGACTCGAGGGAGAAAGCAGCAGAGTATTTTAGAGGAAACAGAAGGAATCTGACCGTGAGCACACAGATTCAGTAGGTAGTCTGGGAAAGGACAAAGATGTACTTTATTTTTTATAGCTCCATTGACATATAAATGACAAACAATAAGCTGTGCATACTTAATAATTTTGTAATTATTTAGTGTCAGTAAGTACATACATATGGAACCATTTCTACTCTCGTGATAATAGATATATCCATCATCTTCAAAGTTTTCTTTTTCTTTTCCAGCAGGTAATCACTTTATTTTTGTTTATTTATTTATTCATTTATTTATATTGATGTGCAGTTGATTTACAATGTTGTGTTAGTTTCAGAAGTACATATATACAGTTGTACATATATTCAGTTATATATACATATATATGTACATACATTGTGTGTATTTATATATTCTTTTTCATTTTATATATAGTAATTTATATCTCTTAATCCTAGATTCCAAATTTATCCCTCCCCTGCCTTTTCCCTTGTTTTGTATATCTGTGAATCTATTTCTATTCTGTAAATAAGTTCATTTGCTCCATATTTTAAATTCCATGTATAAGTCAGATCATATAATATTTGTCTTTCTTTTTGTGACTTACTTCACCTTGTATGATCATCTCTGGGTCCATCCATGTTACTGCAAATGGCATTATTTCATTCTTTTCATGGTTGAGTAATATTCCACTGTATGTTTATATGTCACAGTAAAGAAGTTCCTGAAAAAACTAAAAATAGCATTGTCATATGATCCAGTGATCCCATTCCTGGGTATTTATCTAGATAGAGAAAACTATAGCTTGAAAGGATACATGCACCCCAGAGTTTACTCA